AAAAAAAAAAAATGTTTTTGATAGTAAAATGGAAAAAATTGAAAGTTAGTTTATTAAAACATCTGCCTTGACAAAATCACAAAAAAGAATGCAAAAAGTAAGATGTATAGCTTTTACAAGAGGTTGAAAACCAGAAATTCAGAAATAAAAACTGAAATTTTTAGAACTTTTTTTGTTACTTACTACAAAAATTGCATACTAGCTTACTCAACTGTAACTGCTAGCTCACTGTATAATTAGTAAGTTATACGTATAGTGTACATGTGTTTATAAAACTATTAGTTTGTCTTATAAGGCGGGTGTATATTTTTTTATTATTGAAATATGCTTATCAGATTCTACATGTATTATCTCGGATGCAAGCTATTGTGGTAATTAGGTTTCCTTCTAGGGTGCAATAAGTGCTTTTATGTCACAGAAAACCATCAAGGTAGAGAAATGCATTTTATGATTAAAAATTCCATAAGAAGCAATAGGTACTGGACGGTTCGGAAAAAAATAGTTCCAAATACTTTACTGGCAGTACTAGTAAGCACTAGAATATTCTATTGTAGAAGCAACAGGGCGTTCTTTTATCATTGGAAGTAGCACAGTGTATCAGTCTAACTTTTTCCGATGTGTTGCAATATTAGTTTAAACTTAATTTCTATGATGCAACAACTATCAAACTAGGATGGTTATGATTTTGCTCGCTCTCTACATTAGTATAATTTAATAATTTTTTGTTTATCTTCTGATGGGGTAAACTTTGGAACAAAAATGAAAACCACCTCATTTGTTCCAACTACGAGAGATGATAAAATTTTTTATGAATAGTATTTTCTGATAAAATTTTTTAATACAACTTGTGTAGCTGTTACGTACATTAGATACAAATTTTATTATTCTAAATAAACCGTTTGCTTAGAAAAGTTGTAAGATCAAAGTATAAACGGCGAATTTTAGCTTTCTTTTCGGCTTAGCAAACTGTTGCATAACACTTTTAAAATTTTGTTATCTAGTATTCGCATCTTTACAACATTATTTTTACTTTGACTGATTCTACATCACTTTTAGTACTGTTTATACGCAAACTCCACATCAAATACATCAGTGTCATGTTGTATTATAAGATCATGAAAACGTTAGGGCATTAAGTTGATGAATTTGAATTTTGGTTCACATGTTTTGTCAGTCGAAGGTAAGGGTAATTTATTTTAATTTTGTTAAAATAGAAAAACATAACGGTACAACAGTAAGAGTATCATACATAAAGTATGGTCGACCAAAAAACAACTTAATTTTTCTAGATTTTGATTTCACACCTTCGGAAGGTTACTGATGCATTTAGAAGATTGTAATTTATCACTTGTCTAAAAATTAACTAATGAAATTCTTACAGCAATTTAAATTTAACGAATCAAGCTTACCTAATGTTTCATTTTTTTTCAAATAGTCTTCATTGGTGTATTATGACTTTTTACAAAAATAACAATCTCTTATAAGCACGAAGGCCTTGGCCGTAATAATGCCCTCTACGCCCACAGGTGTCTAAGTATTTTCATAAGCTGTGACAATACAAGGAACTATTTTCTCGCTTTCCACAAAGGAAATTCCGTTTTAGACGCGTAATTATTAAAAACTCGCATTTATGTTGGTTTAATCCCTCGCTACAGTCCACAAGACGCTCTCTATCGTTTTGTACGTGGTCTGTCTTTCTTGCTCTCCTGTGACAGCATAACTTTTTGTAGCTGTTACCAAGCTTATTTATTAGTTTCTTTTCTCACAAGGACCCTCGAGATGTTCAATACAGTTCAATACGATCATTAGATATTTTATTATCATTGATAAAATTTTCATCTAAAGTTCATCGTTAATAATCGAGATAAATGCAATAGGAGCGTTTAAAAAGACGACAGCCCATAAGCCTATGTGTAAAAATCATCTAAATACAAATATTAATTACTCAGCTCCTAGGAACCCTCGTCCCTTAAAATTTTGAAACTGCCATTTCATGACTGTTCATTCGTAGATGAATTTTCATCAATTTCTTACTGTTACTTCTGTAACCGATAGAACTTCCTTAACTTGAAGGAGAAAACAAAGATAGCCTTATATCAGATTTGAGTCAAATGATAATAATCCAAGACATTCGTTAGTTTTTCTTCTTAGGTATAAGTAAAATAATATTAGCCCGCAAAGATAACAGCACTTTGTCCAAACCTTCTCTGGTAGAAGCGTTACTACATAAACTGGCTAGAAACTCGTCAACGTGTTATAAGATCATTTATGCATGTACGTTGACGAGTTTCTAGCCAGTTTATGTAGTAATTTTTTACCAGCGTTAAAAAATGTCGTTCACGACTTGAGCAGAACAAGCATACAATGATTGTGCCTGTGAGAGTCTTTTTTTAATGTTTTTTTCAAAGTTTATTTTACCTACAATGTTATTTTATGTACAGGGCCAGAAACACCTAAGTTCATTCATACAAACATGAATGACACAGAGCAAATCTTGTCGTGGAAAGATGCTTTAAATACTATTGTATTATTGTGCAAGGCTACGGGGATACCAAAACCTGACATAACTTGGTACAAGGATGATAAACCCTTGAAATTATCCAAACAATTTAATTTAGTAAACAATAACGAAAAACTGTTAATAAAATATCTACTCTATACCGATAGTGGAAACTATTCGTGTCTAGCTAAAAATCGCTTTGGAGAAGTACGAAAATCCGAAAAGTTTATCATTAAAGGTAAAAAATACAATTTTTAAGGTTTTATATTCTGTAAAAAAAAAATTTGATACTTGTGGGTTGAAAATTATGTAATGATATTAATTTTCTTTAAATTTCAGGGCCTAGCAAATGTAGCAAGTGATCACTCCATTAGAGAGTAAGATTTTGAAGAATTATAAGGGGCTTTAAATAAATATCTTACAGAGTTCCAGTTGAGTTTGGATATTGAAGATGGAATAAGCTGTTGATTTGTCTGAATGTATTTGGTACTTTTGAGATGCAACAAGATTTTCCTTTCTGTATTAACAATCTTTTATTATATACAATATGTGGTGTTACAAAAAACGCTGGCTAAAATGATTATAATAAAAAAATTAATTAAAAAAAAAAAAATGTTTTTGATAGTAAAATGGAAAAAATTGAAAGTTAGTTTATTAAAACATCTGCCTTGACAAAATCACAAAAAAGAATGCAAAAAGTAAGATGTATAGCTTTTACAAGAGGTTGAAAACCAGAAATTCAGAAATAAAAACTGAAATTTTTAGAACTTTTTTTGTTACTTACTACAAAAATTGCATACTAGCTTACTCAACTGTAACTGCTAGCTCACTGTATAATTAGTAAGTTATACGTATAGTGTACATGTGTTTATAAAACTATTAGTTTGTCTTATAAGGCGGGTGTATATTTTTTTATTATTGAAATATGCTTATCAGATTCTACATGTATTATCTCGGATGCAAGCTATTGTGGTAATTAGGTTTCCTTCTAGGGTGCAATAAGTGCTTTTATGTCACAGAAAACCATCAAGGTAGAGAAATGCATTTTATGATTAAAAATTCCATAAGAAGCAATAGGTACTGGACGGTTCGGAAAAAAATAGTTCCAAATACTTTACTGGCAGTACTAGTAAGCACTAGAATATTCTATTGTAGAAGCAACAGGGCGTTCTTTTATCATTGGAAGTAGCACAGTGTATCAGTCTAACTTTTTCCGATGTGTTGCAATATTAGTTTAAACTTAATTTCTATGATGCAACAACTATCAAACTAGGATGGTTATGATTTTGCTCGCTCTCTACATTAGTATAATTTAATAATTTTTTGTTTATCTTCTGATGGGGTAAACTTTGGAACAAAAATATAACACGTTTTTTACATACGACTTTGGTTAACTGAAGCTTCGACCTCTTTACGCTTTATTATCAAGTTTAACAATAAATTAATACTAAACCTACAAATTATACATGCAAACTTAAGCACGCAGGTCAATGTATCAAACGTAATAGATAAGGTCAGTAACGTATATATTTCAAAAAACAATGATAAGTGTGACCCAATGTGTAAAGGTCCTCTTTTTTTATTTATAATATTGTCGTCTGACGCTATATGCAGCATTTCAGAAATTAATCGTCTCTTTTAATTCATCTCATTGTGTTAAATTCTAATATAATCCCATTTACAAGTATAATTGTTTAAAAGTTGATGCACAGATACCACAGGTTTGGTTTTATAATTATGTTCATGTTATCTAATTTTTTTCTTTAAGTGCTCTTTTTCTTTCTCTTGTATATTTTGCAAAGTTTCATACATACCATGTTGATGCTATTAAACTTTTTGTTTTATGTTTTACTAATTGTACATTGTAACTCAATTATTTCTTTATTCTGGGAATAGTACTGATTCTAAATTTTCTAAAACACTACTTTGGTTTTTTAAATATGTTAAAGAAATATGACAAACTAATCATGTTGTTACTTTCGCACGTTTAAAAGTACGATTTGGAGATTCTTCAGAACCATACAAGTTAATTGAAATCATTATCGTGACGAATAATTTGTACCAATTTTTTTTGTGAAAGTGTCAGGTGTAACTACATTAGAACTGTCATTTATAGTATATTACGTACCTAGGCCAGAAAGTGGGGCTATTACTGACCGCGCTATATTATCACGGTAATGCGTGGTCAGATGTAGCCCCACTTTTTGGCCGTGGTACGTATACTTTTTTTCCTTACACCTCCGCCGAAAGTTCGTCACCACGGTTTTAGTTTTGTTAAAAATGATGTTTTAAAGATTCAGTCAAAGATTTAGTGCATTATGCATTATTGTTGATCGATCGGTCGCTCGAACAATACCACTTAAATGCACGTAGATGAGCGTTCATGGGTATAGGTATATCTATATGTATACGCTCGCCGAGACTGTAGTATATTATATAGAATCAGATTGGGCCGAGGATTTGTGCAGGTTGGTCGTGCTGGCAAAACGGGAGGAAGAGAAATCCGTTTAAATTCGAATTATGGATCCTATAAAGATTATTTTAAAAATCCTAATGTTTATATCCGTAAGTGAAAAATAAATCAGGTTATTATCAATAACTATTATAATTGTGATAGGCATAATTCGATTAAATAAAAGATTTCATAGTTTATTTTTGTAATATGACATGTATATACTACATTTACATACTAAACAAATCATTAAAGTGAAAGTAACTGATCAAAAAACATTAATTTGGTAGTTTTAATTTTGTGTTGTGTACTATGTTCATATGAAATTAATAAATTTATATGTACATGTAAATTGTGCAAAAAAAAAAATATATATATATACATCCAATAATTTATGTAAATAAATATCCAACGATTTTCTGTGTTGTATAAACTATAAAGGTTATAACTCCGTTAGCCGTATATATGTATTGTATAACTACTGCTGCTTCTCGGTGCTGAATATATAACTATATATATCTGCGCACTTCGTTCTGCGCACATATGGCAGGACTGATATGAGGCTTTTTCTAGCTCAAAATCGGGTCAGATGGAACGAACTTTCGGCGGAGGTGTAAGGAAAAATACAATAAAGATTTAGTACTCTCCCAGCTGCGTTGTTAATTGAAATTATTAGTTCGTTAAGTAATTATCATTATCAGTGCATCAATTAGATATTATCTCCTCATTTCCTGTTCTTTTATATTGAGTTGCTCATGTGGACATTCCTCTCTTATAATGCGTTGTGTTAGTGTATGAACTATGAAGACACAATTAATCAAAAGCCAAGCAAGGAGAAAAATAAAACTATTAGAGCGAATCAAGTCGTAGTTGGATTCAGTTATTACTTCAGTATTAAAACAATTTGTTTCTAGCTTAAACAGTTTAACCAGGCTGTCGTGGACAAAACCTTTCTGTGAATCGAAATTTTACAAAGTTAAAGATCATTGAAGGAGAAGATAGCCTATTAATATTAAATGGGAGCAGAGGAAACCAGTACTTGAAATAGATGGTCCACACCACGTCGTTGAGGGCTCGACGTTAAATATTAAATGCACAATTAAAATAGAACAACATAATCTCTACGATGTCTACTGGACTACCCCTCATAATTCGGTAAAATTAGAAGTTCATGAACATGGCTATTGAAGCCTTTTTTTACTTATAGAAAAAAATTTATTTGAATGTTAATATGTGTGTTTTAAAACAATTTTTTTACTTAAATATTTGTTAAGCTAATTTAAAAAAAGGTAATAGAATTAAAAATAGTTAAAAAGAATCATACTTTGTGTAAAATTCTATAGAATACATGTATTATTGATTATTTTACCATGAATACCTATAATAAAAGCATATCAAATCATTAAAGATTTTTTTTACCAGAGAACACATGGTTTATAGTCTTCCAATAATGTCTGGTTTATTTTTATGTACGCATTAGTGACTAACAAAGTGCAATTATCAGAGTTTCAGGAAAATTTCCAATTCCATAAAAGATGACAAAGGTCCCTTTATATTCGTGACTTCCCAACTTGTCAGGAATAATGTCACTTTCAATGACGAAGGAAATTATACGTGACAAGTGAGATTCTTACACAATAAATCAGTGTGTGCTAGAATTTATATCAAAATACATGGTAAAGTGGCAAATGAGTATATGTTTACTGTATATTCTATGATGGAAGGAAATATCTATGCTATGTATTATTTTTACAGATCCGAAAAATACACACATCAATCTAGCGTATGGCAACGGGAAGAGATTTTTTGTGGAATTTGGTGCTATGGTAACATTTGTAGTTTGTGTGGATGCCTATCTAAGACCAACTATTAAATGGTAATAATCTATGCCTATTTATAATTATACTGTTAACAACATCATCACAATCACTGTATTAAAAATATTGTTACTATTCTAAGGTTGGACCGTTACAAGAAAGCGATTGCATCCAAAGAGGATATCGTGGTAACTGATAAAGAATTAACTAGTAGCTTGACAATTAAAAAGGTAAGATGGTTTGATCAAGAAAGTTATACTTTTCAAGCAAATAACACTGCCGAAACAAAGTCTTTAGATTTTTTTTTGAAACCATACAGTACGTTTACTACTGCTATGATATTTTCTATCGCCATTCCATGCAGTATACATCTTTGTGAGGCTCAATTTTAAATTTTAGGACCTCATATACCTACTGTGTCATTATTATATACAGGTGGTTACTCCGCATCATTTCACACAGTAAATAAAAACTCCACTTTTTCATGTACACCCAAGTATAAATGATTCTTTCAAGGTACATGCCCTAAATGGCAACATCGCACATTACTTTTTCTTGGGTGACCAGAGATGGCGTTAGCTCTAAATGGCAGCCAGACTTCTGCCATGAAAGAGTAAAAGAGAGAGAGAGAGAGAGAGAGAGCAGAGCCATGAAACGCGCGAGAGTGTTTACATTTTTAAACTAGTCTTCTGCTAGCACTATCAATACAGCATAGTGACAGTTCATCAGTCACAAGCGTGATTTCAACAATATTGGAGAATTGCTTTGTTTTGGAGTAGGTAACAGCTGTTTAACTTGGTTCTTACGTCTCAGCTTTCAAGCAAAAAGTATTGGTACCTGATAACCTCATAAAGAAAATGTATTCCACACCTTTCTGTAAAATCGTCCTGGTGATTGTGTAATGCAAAAGCATCTTTAGTCATAATTCTCTAGACATCTCTCAACGTTGGCTTTTCAGATAAGTAGCTGTCAATAATTGATTTACCTTAATAAAGTGCATGGAAAGTAAGTAAGTGATTAGATGCTTTGTGTGTATATATTTGATGTGTTACAGGGTGACATGTCTTAGGTAAATCACGAGCCTGCATTGGTATTCAAAGATGAGTCTGATG